AAAACTTTAGTTTTAAAAATGAATTATGACATAGGTGCTGCACCGAAATGCAGAGCCATGAGAGCATATTTTAGGCACATGCAAGCTAGTCTGAAAGATCAGGAGGAATAAGGCAAAGAAGTTAAGTGAAATAGTCAAGAGTGTGACCTTGTTTTTAGATGAATAGTAGAAGTATCTTAGTAATAACAGTAACAATAGAGTTGCCCATGCAACTTGACTGATTAGGAAAGAAAATTCCAAAGCAAAGGATAAAAGATTACCTTAGTAAATTTCTACTGAAGAAATCACCTAAGGCAGCATTTGGATGATCAGTGTGGTAAAGATGAATTATTCAATACCTGTTGGGGCAACTGCTTAGCCATCTGGAAAAACATAAGCTTGGATTCCAACCTCACTGCATATATCAACATGAATCCCAGCTAGTTCAAAAACGTAAACATTTAGAAAAATAAAACCATAAAAGTGCTAGGAGAAACTAATCTTGGACGGGGAAGGCCTAGATTCTAAGAACATGATGCAAAAGCCAGAAAGTGTAAGAGAAAAGATCAGTGGATTCAAAATATTTGTAGAGCATAAGAAAGCTAAAATAAATGACTAACTGGGGGAAATATTTGTAATACAGATGATAAGCAAAGTGCTAAAAGCCCCTACAAAGAAAGATCTTGTAATAAGGGTTAAAAATGATTAAAGAAGACAATTTAGGTAATACAAACAAACTTTAGTACTTTATGAAATGAAGAGTCTCCATTCAGAGGCTGTAAAATGGGGTGAAAGACAGGAAGCTTTTATAGGATAAAGAATAAAGAACAAGGAAGAGAAAATTAGAAAATATCTGATTGGCTGATGCCACCTCACAACCTTGTTTGGAGTAAGAAGGAACAAGGAACTAAGTACAGAGCTTGGAGTTGGCTTGGCATTTGGGGATTGGCTGACTGGATATCCTGTGTTTCTGATCACATAGAGCATTTACGGGGACACAAAAATTACCTTAGTCTTGGTTTGCTGACATGGCATCCTGCATAGTAACGGCTTCATCTTGGGCATAAAAGATTATTTTAACATAAGGAAGAAAGCCAGGCAGAAACAATGCACAAAAGGTTTAATTCCACTGACTGATCAACTTGTGGAAAGGTGTTTCAACAGCAATCGAACAAATGGTGTAAGGGAGACACTCTTCACCTTTTAAATTGGAAGATATTTCAAGATCCACAGCAGCTGTTTTGGCAAGGGTATGGGAAGACACACATTTTTATGCACTATTAATGATTATAAGTTGAAATAACTTCTGCAGAACAGTATAGAAAAATATATCCACATTTAAAATTTGCTTACTCTTTGAAACTGGCTTATTCTAGGATTTATTCCTATGGAAATACTTGCACATCTGTGCAAAGATATATGTATGATGTCTTGAAGGAAGTTACCTTGATGCAATGGTCACCTCCAAATATACTACCAGGCAGGCTATCCCAAATGTCATGGACAGGAAACTTCACAGCCCAAATTTAAATGCTCATATCACAAGGTTTATTGAATCATTTTTAAATAAAAGTCTGTCAGAAAGTATAGTGAAGGTTAAGACACTTAGGATAGGGTACTGGGGAGGTGGGAGGACCACATTACCTGGGTCCTATAGTATGCAGTGTTGTTATGTCCTGTCTGCTGCACCAGCCTTCACTTCTGAAAATGTGGTCATGAGAACCACAGTTGAAATTGAAAATGGAGGTTCAGCAGATGGGGGGAGCCTAGAGTCAATAGGTGCTTGCTCTGTTAGAAATGTTCAGGGGCAGGTATGCCTGCTGAAAGTGATGTTTTTCATCTGTGTTTCTGGGGCAGAACGTACATGGGGCCCAAATGAGTGCCAACAATGAATGGCATTTTAGGGATGATACGGCTGTCAGCCTGAAGGTGGCATCATCTTTACCTTACAATTTGGCCTTTCCATCTTTTCCCACCCGTTAGTAACACTCTTGTTTGTTTCCTTCTTTTTACATATATTCCATTCTATCTGTATCGTGTCTTACAGTATGTTCTCTGTACTTAACACATTTTAAGAGTGCTATCCAACATAAATTTCATATATCCTTTTTGTTTTTCTTGTCCTTTAGAACAGAACTGAATATTCTCATGATACAGCAAATATACATTATAAACATGTGAAACATTTTGCTTAAAACATAAGAAAAATAAAAGAATTGTTCAATAAGAGATAGGGTAAATATGTTGTATATAATGCAATAATGGCTATTAAAGATGGGAATATAGGTCTTTAATATATGTTTGTATGTGCACGACTGGGACATTGTGCTATACAGAAATTGACACATTGTAACTGACTGTACTTCAATTTGAAAAAAAAAGAGCTGCAAAGAATGAGATAAATAGTTCCAGCATCAGCATCAGCTATTTAAAAAAGCTTGTAAGTTTATAATCTAAAAAAAAAAAAACAATTGATTCTGGTTTTTAAAAGTTTCAGATCACCAGCATTGTTCTTTGTGCTGTGGAAATAATAGCCCTTAAAGTCAGATAGACCCAGCTCCATTATATTTATACCAGCTGTATAAAATTGGGTACTTAGCATCCATTCGCACCAATTTTCTAGTCTGTAGAATGAGGATAGTAAGTGTCTTTGTCGGGGGTAAAAACACGTGCAAAGGGCATAGCACAATGCCAAGATAACTTTAGTGGGCTAACAAATACTTTTCAGCCCTGTGTTAGACGGTGCTTAATCTTCTTCTGCCCTCTATTTCATTCCTAACAGTGTGAAAGGTCACAGTGCCAGAAAACCCCAGCAACTGCAGAGGACTCCTTCCAAGACAGGCCAGCTTGTGGTACCTTGATTACAGAAACTACATTGCAACAAAGCCTGATAAGGGAATCTGCTTTCCCCACTGTCTTCCATTATAAAGTTGAAAGTTTCAGATATCCCACCGGAAAATATTTTCACCCCCAGACTTAATAAGATCATAATTGAATAACTAAGAGTTGGGGTCAGATGGCAATATTACTGAACTTTAGTGTGTATAAGACCATCAAGCGCAGCAGTTCTCCATCCTGTTCACGTTCAATATCATCTTTTCTATAACATTCATGTTACTATCTTGAAATTCACAGTTTCTTAAATTAGTAAATGCATTTTGAAAATCAGTATAATTTCTTGACAGTAATATAAAGAGGAAATAAAAGGAAAGCAATTATAATTAAATCATATGTTTCAATACGGGATGCTCTGGTTTGATTATCTTTACGACATAATGTAGCACTCAGATGTTTACATGGCAGACTCACCGTGAACATGGAGTTACAAGTGTGTTGTGTCAGGAACCAAATACTGTGAGCCACAAGGCCATGATGATGTGATTTTCCACAATGGTGAACAATTTTTTGTAAAGTTCTGAACCAAAAAGGCTAATTTTCCTCTAGTTTACACAGTGGTTGAATTCCTGTAAAATTTAGTATGACCCTGCAGAAAATACTTTAAATATGCGATTTGGAATTAAATAGGAAGATCCTTTAAAATGTGGGTTCTAGATCCTCAACTCCAGAGATTTTGACTCAGGGAATCTAGGATAGAACCAAGAGTCTACATCAACCTCCTGGCAGTGCCTCCTGATTCAGGCATTCTGTTTTCTAACTGAGTTGAAGGGGGGGGGGGGGTTGTCCTGGAGAGGTAACCTAAGAGGATAAAGTAGGAGCGAAAACCCAGGTTGGCCATGCCTAAATAGTGTAATGTACTGGGGCAAAAGTAAGGAAGTTAGAATAGGAATATCTCAGTTTCAGACAGAACTCTGCTACTTTTAATTGCCTTATTTGGTACAACTTTTCAGTGTCTATTTCCTCATCTATAAAAATGGGAATTATTACCTGCAGTATTGAGGGATGGGACTGTGGTTTCTGAGACCCTTTGAGGTTTGCTTATTTTATTTATCAAGATTATTAAAACTCTTGATATAAAGCAGTTTGTAATATGGAATATATTAACCATGCAAATCTGATCAGGGTGTTGTCACTTTCCCCAAAGTCCACTGTTTGAACCCAGAGGAAGCAAGCCACAAAGAAATTTGGCCCGCTAACCCCTCGACTCGCCAAACAAACGAAAAAAGACACCAGCTCGTAATCCAGGCTCGACAGGATTCTGGCTCCAGTCGGCCGGTGGCCTAGTGTGTGGATGAGTCACTTCACTTTCACTGGGATCGGTTTACCTAGCCTTTCAGTTCCATCTTTACTCAGTTACTCCTCCATTCCTCTTGACTTCCTCTTTTCCCACGACTGCCACCATCCTCTCTACCCCTGTGTTTGGCCTTTTCTCTGCAGAAAATACTCTAAATATGCGAGTATTCCCACGCTACACATTCCCTCACACACATTCTGCTCTTTCTCGTCCCTGATTTCGGTCACCAACAGCTCCGCAGCCCCCTAGGCTCCTTGCCTTTGGTAATCTCCGCTAATTCTCCCGCAGCGTCCGGGCTCCTCCTCAAGATGGGGGAAGGGGGGATCCTATCCGCAGCCCAAGCAGGAGCCCCAATTGCACGCCCGGGTACCCACAGCTCCTCGCGTCCCCAAGACTCGCTTTCACCTCCCCGCCCCTCTCTCGGCATCCCGCCCTCTGCACAGCGCTCTGAGGCTCGGGAGCCGCTGGCTGAGGGCACCCGTTAAGGTGCCTGGTCCCTCGCCATCCGTTCGCCCACAGCACATCTCCAGGGTCCCCTCCGCAGACCAAGCACCCCGGCTGCCCGAGGCTGAGGCCGGCTCTTTTTCCTCCGTGGCCTGGGATGGCCACCACAGGCGGGGTCTGTCGCCACTGAGTCCAGAGCCCAGCGCCACCCACGTGTCCCAGAGCGCCGCGGCCAGCCAGCGCAAACCTCCCCAAGGCCAGCGGCTCCTCGTCGCGGGAGCTTATTGCAGGCGCGAGAAACCCGCACGGGCCCCGGGGCTGCGCGCGACTCACAGGCGGCGGGTGCCGGTCCTGCGCGCCTCGCC